TATTTTAAAATTTATTTAAAAGTAAAGACCGTGCCACATTTAGTTCACTGCCTGTGTTTAATTAATTAAAAATTTTGTTTAGTATTGACCTTTCTTAAAATGACCCCTTTTGTGACAGTGTGAACATTTCTTTAATTTCTTGTCGAAGGTTTTTTCGTAAGATGACCCAGATTTATTATTATCATCCTTGAAAAGGCAATTTCGGGATTGATGTCCTGATTTCTTACAAAGTAGGCAAAGTGTGTTTTCCCTAAACTATTTCTTTTTTGAATGAACTTTTATGTTTGTTCTTATCAGATGACCTCTTGTCTAATTTGCTCAAAAATCCACGAAAAAGTTCAGGTGTTTTAAAATTAGCTGTGCCTTGATTTTCTGTTGGTAAACCGTTAATAATGCAAGACACCGCATTAATATACACTTTGAGTAATAATAATGAAGCATACTTTCTTCTAATGATTTTTTTCCTATTGAGCATTTTGTTTAGATTGTCCACAAAATATGCATGCGATGGAAATGCATTTAGAACAGCCTCATTCCTTTCGTACCAGGTATTGTTGTATTCTAGTAGACCGTTGTACCAAACTTTAGCTATTCCGGCTAATTTAGTTTGTAAAAATACGATTTTTTTGAGATCGGTCTAGCTATATATCAAAGCCAACGGTTCGATTTTTTAAGCCACGTTACCGCATTTAAGTCACCATTTTCCGGATCGAAATTCGGCACTAAATTACAGTTAATTTGTATTTGCTCGATAACATCTTTCACGTTTTTAGCAATTATATCTCCAATTCGCTTTTTTTTTATTTTCTAGATACCTGATCCGATTCACTTTCACTGCTATTCGAGCTCATTGAATTGGAATGTCTTTTTCGCACTCTCTTTTATTTGTTTCACGTTTTCGCGTCTTTTTCGTATTTTATTTTTGTCAAGAGTTTGGTCTGAGTCACAAATTGCACTCATTTTTTATATCGTAAGTAATCCGCATTTCTAAAATATTACGCTAGTATAAATAAAACGACTATATATTAACAACTTCCCGATTTATTATAACTTAACTTAAATCGACCGTTTACAACGAAAAGAAAAAGCAGAATGAATAATATCTTAGCATTACTCATTGCCGCATAACTACTTACATCTACATGAGTTTATCTTTATGCGTCACACGCTGGATGAAAGTATTGATTACAAAGTATAGGTACCTATTAGTTTTCTTAAAGAAAATTAAACTCTTTTATCACCTACCGTAGTTTTTTCTGCTTGCTTCTCTTCCATTCTTCTGTATTTCGTTTTCTTTTTCTGATTTTATTAACGGTTATGGGAGTTATATTAACTTCCATTATTTTTGTATTAAATTTCACACGAAGTACACAGATACGACGAACTCAGATGACTATGATAAACAGCGTGCGTAAGGCTAGATTAACTTGATACAACTGATAATAATTTCGTGGTCACTCATAGGTACAAAGCACATGGTATTTGGCGCGTTTTTTTAGCGACAAATCACGATAAGCTAACTCGTTAACGTATTGGAGATTGTACACTTTGTCCGTTTTGAAACTAAATATAATTTTCAAGCCTAAAAATACATTTGAGTTTGACCATTTTGCTAAGAACTAGTGAGTTATTTGAATTCAGCGCTAAAAATTGCATACAAAACGACATCTATCTCATTTTCTATAAAACAAGGAGATTGTCCACTTTGATATTAAACCCCTCATTTACATTAATCTGTGCAATTGTTTTTAAATCTTATTATTTTGAGTTATTTTCTTCGATAAGATTATTTCTTCTCCTTCTCTCTTTCAATTTATCATTTTCAACTTCAAGAAGATTTTGTATTTTGTTTCTCGAAACCTAATTTTTTCTTGTTTATTTTTGTTAATTATTTCTTGTTTCCTACTCATAATTTTTTTCTATTCATAAATGAACTTTTAATTTTTGTTACTTTTTTCAAGTTCGTTATTTTCTTCGTTATGTTTTAATATATTTTCTCGATAAATTGTATTGGTATCCACCAAACATTCGGGAGTAACATTTTTTTTATGGCCAATAATTTCGTCCATCTCCTTTGTATAATCAAATTCTTTTCTTCCTCGGCCAGTTATCTATGGACCTTTTAAAATTTTGTTCTAAGACTCTCCACCAATTTTCGAATTGCGATGGAGTACAATTTATACTGTAATTTGTTTTTAATTGTGCCAAAATAACTTCCCACATTTTTTAATTTGATTCTTACATCTTTTTGTTTTGTATAACTAATTTTCATGAACCCAATGATATATGACATTGGAAATATGATATGTGTCTAAAAGAAATACAATGTTGCAATAACAATTATTACATAGCAATGGTCATTTTTACCTATGCCCTGTGTTATACCAGGCCAACCAATTGGCTTCAGTATCAGAAAAATTATATAAAACTAACGATTTAAAAAATACCCATATCAAGATCTTTCTCGCCCTCATCGGCAGAGTTATTTTAATTGAAATTACCAAACATTGAATAGTACTTACGATTCATGATTAAAACACAGTTTCATTAGACTGTTACATCGCCGGCACAAATATTCTCCTTCAACCGGTATGAGACCATATTTTAACAAAAAACGTGCAAATTGTCATTATTTTTGCACGCTTCGAAGATTGTTACAATTGTTACATTATTTATCATTTTACAAATTGTCGGAAATCAATATAAATCAAGATAAATTAATCAATATATCGCTTGGCGTAACGCTCAATATTGGCGGTAAATCAAAATACATGAATATCATTGTCATAACATGGAAATTCGTCTTATGTCTAATGGACTTTATTCTTGAATTTATACAGACAACGCTCTTACCTGACAATATTTGTTCGAAAAAATTAAAAAAAGCGTTTGTTTGGTTAAATATAAATGTAAAATATATTAAAGAATATATAATTATTTTCCTATTGTTCAAATTAAAACTAAACAAAAAACTTAAATAACCTAAACTAACCTAACCTAACCTTTTTTTTTGTCGGGTGAGGAACCGCATGGCTTCCCCAGCGCTTAGTTGATCTATCGCGACTGGGAGTGTGGGACTCTATTCCCTTCTCTTCCATTGCCTTGATGATATTTTCCCATCTCGCGGTGTTGAATGCATTTTTGATGTCCAATGCCACCAAAATTACCCACTCTTCTCTGGTTTCTTTCACCCCATCACTTATTTTTATGAGCTCATCTATTGTGGATTTCCCTTTGGTGAATCCAAATTGGTCGTCCGATATTCCATTTTTTTCCTTTAATTCTTTTTTTATTCTAATTCTAATCATAGCTTCATATGTTTTTCCCATACCATCCAGCATGCATATTGGCCTGTATGACGAGCTCATTTCTGTTGGTTTGTCATTTTTTAGGAGCAGAATTACCGTGGCTTTCCTCCATGTCTCAGGGAATTTGTTTTTTAGTAGGATGTTACACACGTATAGAATTTCTTCCCTACCTAGCCTAACCTGTGCGGCCTGGAGTAATCTCGTTTATGAAAAAATTTGGTATGGTTTATTGCTCTATGAATGGTCTAATATTGATATTGAACCGTTTCTACAACAAGAAATCAGTGAAAATGGTTTATTTCACATTTGTTTTATGATGGAGACCCGACAAAAAATTTTGAGGTAAATTTTTTTTTAGTGTTAGCGAACCCATATTTGTTATGTATAGTATGTTTCAAAGTGTCTAGAAACTTTCTATAACATTTCGATAGTTACATCCACCGTTCGAGTGTCGGCGTATAATGGCAAATATTGTTACCTATGTATTTAATAACAAAATGAAACGGTTTTAGGAACATTAACGATTAGAACTTAGCTATATTTCTAATAGGCACTTCTAATAACAAAATAATAATAGTATCAACAACAGATACTCACATTATTTCAACATTTCTTTGGCAACTTTATAGATACAAGAAACTATAAGGGGTACATAAAATTAGCCTACTACAATTTCTATTAACTTAAAACAAGGATTTAATCTTCTGATTCGTTATTACCATGAGGCAAATTTTTATAAAATTCATGAAATCTAGTAGGTACCCACTGAAGGAGTTTCTGAAGGTGAGTGTATTTTTTGTCGATATTGGCTTTAGGTCCATCTCTTATCGCTGGAATACCAACTGGACTATTATTTGTGCGTCTAGTTTTCCTGTTTAAATCAAAATTTGTTTTGTAACAGTACGCCAGGGCTATCTCTTCGAACTTGTAAGTGGACTGATTTGGAATTATAAAATCCGTTTCATTTTTTGTTGACAAGATAAGGTGCCGCCTTTCCCTCGTACAGTGGTTTAAAATCTTTAAATTCACTAACTTCCATGTTAACCACATTTAATTTTTTCTTTGAACCGCACAAGCGGACCAGCTGTTTCCAGTCCCAGGGGGTCATGATTTCAAAATGGAGTATTTTTTTTTCTTTCCCCCTTAATCATCGCATAGTCTCCATCCGTTTCGAGATGGGTGTGACCTCTTGTCAGATATTTGTGACTAATCGTTTTAGTGTTGGGTTTAAGATGTAGTATCCAAAAATAGCCCATAATCTTATATATGTTACGATTCTGACTCGGGCAATTGTCAGACCATATTGTGAGTTCTTCGGTTTGATCAGTAAGATTTAGAAACAGTATTACGAGGCCAATGGCCCATTGTATTCATATATGCATATAGTAATTAGCGTTAGTATGTTGAGCATATCGTACCATACATGCAATATTTACATCAGTTATTCCGCCAACAACAGCGTCAATAAGATACTCATCTGGACTAGATAACTTTAAAGCTCTTAATTTTGACAGTTTTTTAAAACAATAAACACCTAACTTTTGACCTGGCCTCATTTCACAATTCGCCGCAACTTTTATTAAATTTGAAAAAGGAACAGACTTACGGAATTGAACGATGATATTCATCTTTATCCTTGACCAAATTTTATTAACTTGAATGCGATCGTCGAACCACTGCTTTGCATTGTCTCTAAGACAACTTGACATCAGACGAATTGGTATCCCATTGGTACCTATCTACCAATATGTCGACTTCCAGTTCTGCAATAATCTGATTATCAGAATCAAATTCATTATCTAACCCGTATACTGTTTTCACGTTCAAGAGGCCCCATATTAAATCATGGTTCGAGTCTTTTTTAATATTGGGTGCTGGGCCACGACCAGTTTTAATTATCTCAGTTTTTTCCAGAGCCGCCACTTTACGTAATTTTTTTTTATTTTCGTAAAATTTCTTTAGCATTACGGCAGCTCTGTAGGAATGGTCTGGTGCTAAAGCATTAAACTCTTTCTGGATTTTTTCCCATGTTTTGTTTTTTTTTTTCTTTAACCGAAACACTGTTTTTTTATTTGCAATTTTATTTTTATGTTTTGAAATTATATTTAATAAAATCGATTGTTCCGCACGAGAAAAATTTGTACTGCGTTGCCTTTTCCTTCCAATACTATAAAAAAATAACCAAAAAACAGCTCGATTAACATACGAAAAATGTGGCGGCAATTCTCAAACCAGAATCAGACAAAAAATAAATGGAAACAGAAGAAGGCTATGAGTTCGGCGTAAATATAGTTAAAAGTAATCATTGCACCTTCAAGCGTAACAGTAGTTCTATTGTTACCGTTTAACAAAGCCAAATTAAAAATTGACAGTGCAACTCGATAAAAATAAAGCCAAGTTTGAATATTTAAGCCGACTTAACAAAACTAAGTTTAATGTATATCGGTGCAAACGGCCCTAAGTGACTTTATAAAAAAATACGCATTCTGTAATTTCCAAGATGAATTTAAGGCTACAACCATTAAAACAAGGAATTCAGTTGCTGGTTCAAATTGTCATCTTCAAAGTCCAATCCAATATTAATATACCCCCAATTTCTACAGCCATCAAAGTCAATATTTTTTTTAATTGACATTTCGTCAGATTGCAAAAAATTGACGATTTATTGCTCGAGTGTCTGTCGCATCAAAATGGTTTGAGAAAATCCTGGCATGCAATCTACAGTAGATGACTATTTCCGTAATGTATTTGGATGCGGAAGAGCAAAATTAAATGTTTTTCTTACGTAACTATATGCCTTCGAAAAATAAAAATGCAGTGTAATGGCAAATCTTTTTAATTCTTTAGAATATTTTGAAGTGGAAATAAAACCTGATCCAGTATTTTTTAAAAGCCTCCTTACCAAAGCAGTTGTAATATCACCAATACTTTGTTGAAAATGATCCAGTGCAAAATTTGATAAAGCATATTGGATTTCAAATAATTTATAATATTCTTGAAAGAAAGTGTATAATTTTTTCGATTTAACTTTGTATTTTACACTTATTATATCGAACTGAAAAGTAATGTAAAACGTTTTTGTCAAAATCATTATATTATTTCTAAAAGAAAGCACCTTTTCTCGCATAAATAAACTATAAAAGAAGAATAAAATAAACAACACTTTTACAAAAAATAAATAAAAAATCTACTTTTGGACCATTTTGCCTTCATGTAAAGGTAAAATGGCACCATCAGAAGGTAAAATGGCACGGTCATGAAAACAAAAAAGACCAATGTGCCCATTGGTTACACTTAGTGCACTGGATCTTCCCTTCTGTGGAGACAAAGTACAAATAATGACAATACAAACACTCCACATCAGTTTCATCTTCGGAAGAATAGTCGTCTTTTTCTATAATTTGTAATATGATCTTGTTATTTTATCTATTTTTATAGTGTTTTAAGCTCTTATGATTTTGGGGAGTGGGTCAGGTTATTAAACAACTCGTATTACTTTGAAAAAGAATGTTCAGCGCCACTATATTTAAAACTTTCTAAACTTGACAATCGATTAGTGATGAAAATATAGAAAATCACTAACCATTAAGATATTATAATTAAATAAGGTCTTAGATAAAGCAGCGACAAATTCTAATTCACAGAGACTTACTTATTCAAATTTAAATGATTTATTATAGACTGTAGAGGCCTTCTTAAAGGGGCTTCGTATGATACGCTTCGGATATCACCAACTGTTAAATCTTCATAGGTAAAGTTAAATCTTGTAAACTTCTTTGGACGGCTCGAACTAAACCTCTAGATATACTTGAAACAAACTTCTGTAGCTGGAACTAAACTTCTAAGTTTCTATACTTTTGAACATGCAGCTAGAACGTTCTTCCAAACTTCTAAACAAAATCTTTCGATATAATTTCTACAAAACCATCTATATACAGCCAGGCTACAAGGAAAAAGGTAAAATTATCAAGAAAGGGACTAGGGAGTTTACATAGGAAAAAGAGAAGATGCTTTTTACTATTAAACGCACAATTTAATACTATTAGTGAATAGCTTTACAGAGACTAAAATTAATATGAAAAGGAAAAATCTTATTTAACATAATTAAAAATAGTAAAGCATATTATCTCTTCCAAACAGAATAATAGATAAAATTATATAAAATATTTTATCATGTGTTATCCAATGTGTTGAGGTTATATTTAAAATTTTACATTTTATTCAAGAAACTCTTGTACTAAATATATATTCTCAACAAAATATCGGTAGGAAACTTACCTTTTTAAAATCAGACGGTCATTAAAAATATTAAAGACAATTAGTACATCGGATGTCCAAGATAAAAGATAATTAAAAATTCCATAAATCAACTTGCTCGATGACAGATATAAATCGAAATGAATTATCAACTTTTAACATAAGGCATAAACGACAAATGACATTTGTGTAGAGATGTTGGTGTCAAAATAACGAAAACGGTTCCGACCGTTACAGTGTTTGGGTCTAAATAACGAAAACAATTTCAACCGTTACAATCCACTACCTTCGGGTAAAAAAAAAATTTTAATAATAATTTGAATTTTTTTTTTATTTTTCTTTACTATTTCCATATTATCTCCTTTTATTGCAACTAGCTAGAATGATACAAGATGTGAAACGATCAATGGATTACTTTTCAAGAGTGTTGCCCGCCGATATCCACAGTAATCAAAGGTCACTGCAAGAAAAGGTCCTTCAAAAATCATTCCACCCCCAATACCACTGCTAAACCAATTACCGTAGAAGAAAATTAAAAATTGCAAAAAAAATAAATAAACCATGATTATACACCATCATACAATGAATAACACAAGATATCGCTGTAAAAAAAATGTTAATAAAAAAGAAATAAGAAAATATATACTTCCTATTGGATTAGTATATAAAGATAAGAAAATTAGTAAATAAGCATTATATAATATAAATGCATGTTTGTTCTTATACAAACTTGAACCACATAAAATTGCAATCATGCATCGGTAAGATAAAGTTCAAATTAAAGTTAAATCATTAAACTGAAAAAATTGTACTGGTATAAACCATACATATATAAGATAAAGGTAAGGTAGAGAATAGTAAATACTCAGATTACTAAGTATTCATGTATAACAAAAAAGAGAAAAACAAACTGAAAATTTTTATACACAAATAAAGGGACTTTAGACACATATTTTGATATTTAGTAAAGCTCCCAAAATAGGAAGGTGTTGATAAACTTACAAACTAAGACCCATTATTAAAATAAAAAAAATTATGACGACAACTGACATTTTGAGTGTATCCCTTAAAGACTAAAGATTTATAACTTAAACTAAGAAGATTTACTACTTTAGCTTTTAAGTGCTTGTTTAAGAAAATTTTGATTAAAATGAAAAAAATTATTTTAACTTTAAATCTGCACTATTATACCATACAAATGTCACAATCAGGGAAATATAAGATAAAGGTAAATAAAGGTAAGTAAGGTAATGTAAGGTAAACTAGAAAGAAAGATCTTTGAACTATATTTGCATATATGATAACTAAATAAAGGTGAACCATTTCAAATCAAAGGGAACTATCTTGATATTCAAAAAACATAGTACATTATGTACTAAAGGTAAAAATAATATTATTAAACGATAAAAAAACACATTCACTCAACTAGTGAATAAAGATATATAATACTATTATAGAAGATAAATTATGAAAATCAAGATAAATAATGTACACACATCAGTGAGTACAGGTATACGAAACATCTTCGTAATGCTGTAAATCAGCAAAGTTAGGTAAAAAAAAATATAGTAATGCAAGTTCTCTGTTAACCTAAAGTTAACGCAAATATGAAATTTTGCGATACTCAACTAAATTCTTTTCAATATAAAATGAAAACAGAGGTATCAAATGATATTGCTAAAAGCATACATTCTCAAATTATAATTGAAAAAAGAATAAAGATATACAAACTTTTACTACTTGTATTAAAATATAATTTAAATTGGTTCGAAATAAATTAGTTATGCAATTGTGAGGTACTTAACTATATAAAAAAAAACATGAAAAGTTAGATAATATAGTTCAAAGTCAACTTAGGTATTTTAAGATTGAATTTAAGGAAAAGGTAAACAAATTAAAATATTACTCAAGTTCAATAACTATACAGATTTACTACCAATCAAGAGAAAAAAATTCTTAATAAATGTTTCAGTTAAATAGTCATAATAAAGAATTAATTATAAAGGGAAGAAATTCAAAATCTAAAGAAAATGTAGAATATAATTTACTAAATTTAATGAAAAAAGTAGGTAAAGACATTGAATAAATCACTGCACTAAGATTCAAATAGCAAAAAAAAAATTATAAATATATTTCTAAACACTCCTAATATGGTTAATGCAAACTGACGTCTCAGTTTCAAAACTTGTACAGAATTATATCAATAACTGATAGATACAGTGTTAAGCAAGCAAATGAAAAGAAAATAAAAACAAAATTTATTAATATAATTCGGACACTCTCCTAAATTGGTAATTGCAAACTAGATACTTTCAAATACTTATCCAAAATTATACCAACAAGTAAAGATAAATGTAAAGAGAAAATTATGTTAACTAGGAAATTAGGTAGAAAATACTATTAGTAACTGAATACATATTACCAAAAATTAAGGTAGCTTTTACAGACAGTGTTGCTTTAAAACAAAAGCAGTAGCAGACAATTAAAAGAATATATTATTCACTGTTAGAGGTATCGTTATTAACGTTAGGTATGACTTCATTATCATCATCTTCAGATAAATGTAAAAAGCAATATATTTAATTAATTAAAGGCACAAAGTTTTATCACTAACCAAAAAATTTTTTACTCGATATGCACAAAAATCAACTAAAAATCCAAAAACTATACACTTTTATCAGTGTATAATGAATATAGCACTAGCAAAATAATAAATATGTGTAGATAAATATGTGTAATGTAGCCCTCTTTTCTTTCCTTGTTTAGTATTAATTAGGAAGAAGTTATTAAAGTATTAGCTAGCTGTGTTGGTTATGATGAAAGTAATTTATGCCAACAAACCTCAGGGGTTGGTTCTGTTGTTTTGGTTAATATCGAGCTAATCTACGTTTAGTTTGGGCACCACCTTATTTAGTTTTAAACGGAAACCATATAAGGAAATAACCAACTTAAACAAAGTAGATACGATACGATAATTAAACTGCTAGATTTAGAGATTTCAGAGTAAAGAAATTAAAACAGGAAATTCAATATATCAGTTTATTATGCAAAAATTACAATAGGCTGAAGACCAAGCAAATAAATAGTGAAAGTTTACAATATAGCTGAAGGCTAAAACAAATAGTGAAAAATTACAATAGGCTGAAGGCCAATGTCAAATAAAATTACAATTTCAGCATTAATAATCCAAGATTAATAGATTAATAATATAATTTAATTGGCTGATGGCCAGTAATGATAGATGAAGAGAAATTAGTGAAAATTGTTAGAAAAAAAAAAAAATGTCTTTAAATAGCCTTTACAACTTAAAATGGTGGCATATGTTACCCGACTTGTCTTGGTCTTCTGAAATCCTGGACTTAGATAGACGCTCTGGAATATAACTAGTAGTGTGGAAGAGACGATCTGGAATCTAACTGGTAGTGCGGAAGAGAAGTTCGTCACCGTTAACAATTTGCCTGTGAACCTCCTAAGCGGCTGGTAGTGATGGTGGAATAGTAGTAACCACCAAGGATTCGTTCAACACGGAACGTTTTCAGAACTGAGAACAGCTTCAGACTACTTCTTATGGTCAACGAAACTTCTTCATGATCAAGGTACTCATATCTTCCAATAGAACTATCCTTCAGAGTACGGAAGGTCTAGAAATTCTTCTACTTCTTTTCGGTGTCCTCGGGTACGTCGTTAACATAAACAAAGAACAAATGTCTAAGCCACCAGAAATAACAATTAAATATAAAGGGAGTCTTTCTTTTACACTAGGCTATTTAAATTAAAGACTAAAGTTTAAATAAAAATGCTCGTGAGTGCATAAGGTACTCTACGAGGCGAAGTGAAAAGTTATTATTAAACTAAAGAAATAAATTGAGTAAATGTTACTCTGTAGCCAAAATGCTACCTGAAATTGATTTAAATTTAAGATTAATTCTAAAATTAATATGGTGACCTTCTAGGTTCACACAGCAAATAAAAGTAATTGATCAATTTGACAAATCTAGTTGAAAACTATTAATCATATCAATGAATTTCAAAATTAAATTAAATTTAGTAAAACGATAAATATTGCTAATGAATTTCAAAATTTAATTAAATTTAGTAAAACGATAAATATTGCTAATGAATTTCAAAATTTAATTAAATTTAGTAAAACGATAAATATTGCTAATGAATTTCAATATTGAATTAAATGTAGTGAAACGATAATCTTGCTAATGGATTTCATTAAAAATTAAATTTAGTAAACGGTAATCTTGCTAATAAATTTCAATAAAAATTAAACTTAGTAAAATGGCAATCTTGCTACTGAATTTCAATGGAAAAAGAAATTTGGTAAAATGGTAATCTTCCAAACCATATCTTGCCAACGAATTCCAAAATTAAATTAAATAAACCACAAAATTAAGTAATAATATTAAATATTACATTTGACATGGCAAAAATATATATAATATACTCTCTTATAAGTAACGATAAATTTGCGAAAAAGCTTATTGAAAGAAAAAAAAAACCTTTAAGGTTATTAAAGAAAGAAATAAAAAAACTCCAATTGATTCATGGAAATTGGTAGGTTGATATGCTGATAAATTATGCGACCTTCATACCAAAATCTTGAGTATACGATCATACCCGAAGGAACTGTGTTACTAAAAAGTTGAGTAGCATATCTTACTTTCATTTTTTCAAAGTTGTTTGGATATAAGTGTTTATCTGTTAATTTTGGAGCAGCTCTAATGAGATATTTTTTATCGTGATTATAAAAATCTTCAATATATTTCCAACATATTTCTTTACCGTCCGGTTTTGCAAAATTATGTTTTTGTAAATTATTCCTTACGACCTTTATTAAATGGACAGGATCAAACATATAATTTTTTTTTTGATTATTTACAAAAAAATAAGGTTGGGTTGAACTTATCTTTAATAAATTTTTTAACTGTATATAATTAGATCCCAAATCTGTCAGTAAAACACAAACAGTTAAACCGATATTTTTTAGTTTTATAACCAATTCATCAATAATAATTTTTAAGGATTTTGCTGGACAGCTTGTATTAAAAAAATTATAACACAGTGGTTGAATCCACTTAGTCTTTATCCCCTTAATCATAAAAACAGATGTCGTGGTGGCCGATTTAAATTTATTTGAGCCCAAACCATCATCCTCCATGCCTACAATTGTATCTGACCCAGTCATATAAAATAAATTGGCTTTAATACTCATCTCGTCAATACACAATATACAAAATTTATCTGAATCAGTAAAATTTTCAACTTTGGTTTTTAAAATTTCAAATAATTGGGGATTATTTGGACCAGTTTTACTTTTTATTTTTTGAACAACTTTTAATAAAGTTGCAGGTGTTGGTAAGCAAAACTCTTTAATTAGTTTTTTTCTATATAATTTTGGACCAGAGAAGTACATCGAAAGGCATTTATTTTTAAATTGCATTGAGTACCTACGACCTTTCGGATGTTTATTGATTGTTTATGCATTTGGATTCGGCAGTTAAGTCTCATGAATTAATATTTCTGCTAGATATTATACAGCACGGAGCCTATGTGCTATTTTACTTCCTTTTTTATATATCAAATTACCTGGTTCTCTAGAAGAGCTACTTGCAATTTGAACACTCCTTGAGGAACCCTCCAAATGAGGAAATACTGTTGGAAAGGCAGTTGGCAGTAGCCGAGTTTTCATATTCTTTTTTATTATCATTTTATCCTCAAAGTGTGCAGCACAGTCTATAATTATCAATGGAATTAATATTTTCCTGCAGATCTTCTCGTCCACATGCAATTAACCACATTTTTGCCCTAAAAACCATTATTTTTTAAATCGAAAAATATTGTATTGTTTATATTAGCATAAAATTTTTATTTTGAATATGGTCATTTTCTTATATAAATTTTAGTTAACTCACCTCACACGATCTTTTGGAAATCTAAAAAAAGATAGATCACAGTTATATGCTTTATTTTGGCAATAACTTGCAGAACAAATTACTCCAGCTTTACGTTTGCTCATAATAAGTCTATAAAACGCGAAAAAACTTTAAAATGTACAAATAAAAAAAAAAACACAAATTATAATATGTTGAATCCAACTAAACACAATTAAACGCGAAAAATCAACGCCACCACTGAAATTGATACACAGCGCAAATATAAAACTATCGGACACGCCAATGATCTAGGCTAATCTGTGCTTGCTACTCCAAACGCATCGATAGAAATCTGACTTTGCCCTTCCACCGCAAGATGAGATTCTGGGATATACGTATTCTATGACAAAACTTTGAGTAATATAATTCTTGAAAATTCGAGGACTGTTCAGATTGTTGTAAAAGCGAATTTATTTGGTATAGATCTTGGAAAGGTCCAGTGGTTTGAGGATGTGGTGAAGAAGATGGTGTACATGTTTGGCTGGCTGAAGATACAGAAGCTACAGAACTTTGATACTGAGGAGATGGGTTTGGGACTGGTGTCTGCTGAGCCGAGGTAGAAGCTGAAAAAGTTGTCTGTGAATAAGATCTTGATTCATTGTCGTAGCCTCCCATGTCTGCATTAAATAAAATATTATTAATATTTTGCGTTTTATTTGTGTAGCTTCTTAGTTTGTTCGCCACATGCTGCCCATATACACTACATCCATCTCTATCGGCAACTGCAGTTTTTAAAATACTGAAAGCTTCATCTACTTTGGTATTTTCTGTTGTTGCAGGTGGGATTTTGCGCTTGCATTGTAGGGTTACTGATGGTGTTGGTACAAACTTTTAGGACGTATTTGTCGTAATTTGAGATGTTTGCATTGGTGGTTCTGTTGCTTGCGTTAAAATTTCCCCATTGTCTGCTGCTTGTGATTCTTCTTGTGTATTAGAAACATCATCTTCATTTTGGGGTTCTTCTACACTGTCATTGTCTTGTTCCTGAAATAAAACAAAATAAATGTTTTTTATTATTTTTCAGATGCCAAGTACTTCCAAAGAGTGGTTAAGCATATGTAGTCGGTTTTTAGAAAAATGGCAATTTCCTCACTGTTTGGGTTGTATGAATGGGAAACATATAGTAATCCAGGCCCCATTCCATAGTGGCAGTGATTTCTACAACTATAAATCCACTTTTAGCATTGTTTTATTTGCGCTCGTAGATGCTGATTACAATTTCATTTTCGTTGATGTTGGTTGCCAAGGCAGGATTTCAGATGGCGGTGTCTTTAAAAACACAACTTTATATAGAAAATTAGAAAAGGAAACTTTGGGCTTACCGAGAGATTCATTGCTACCTAACTCGAATAAAACAATGCCATACGTTTTTTTAGCCGACGAAGCATTTCCTTTAACAAATCGTATAATGAAGCCTTTTTCTGGACTTCATGCAAAAGGAACAATTGAAAGAAATTTTAATTTTCGACTAAGTAGAGCAAGGAGAGTAGTGGAAAATGTTTTTGGAATATTAAATATTAAATATTTACACAAAAACATCAGGTAACATAAAACTTTATATTCTTGATAGTTTCGGCATTTACTTAATAAAAATCCATATTATTAAAATAAGAACAACCAAACATGGTAGATTTCACAAACACTTTTATTTGAAAAATAAAACTTATTTCTTTGAAATCTCTGATTATTACTAATTCTTACATCACTATATTTTTCAAAACAATTCGGAAGATTTGACAAAATCTCATGCTTTGATGGCCAATACACCATACCACATAAGACTTCACTGAGCTTGGGTACCGTTTCAAAAAATATAGTGTTGCAAGTTTATGAAGTAATTCCTCCAAAAAGAATTGATAATACAACATACGTTAAATTATTTTTTAACTTCATCATTGTTAAAATTATTCTGTCTCTTATAGACAATCGATGAAGTCTTAAATCTCTAAGAACCATTTCTAATGTGTTCTCTAGTCCTTCTAACAATTTTAAACTGTGTAAACCTGTCAGGGCATTGATATGATCATCAGTAGCAATACATTGGGAAACTGTTTTCATTGTATCCGTATTTACTTGAACTTCAACATCATGTAGAGTTTTTTCACAAACAGTAAGTAAGGCTGCTGCCACCAACTTCTCTTCCTCTGTGTATTCTCCAAATCTTGATTACCTGTGCACTCCGTTTGTATAACCTACAACAAGGATTTTTTTACAATAAAGACTAGATGTTTATTAGAATGGAATAGAATTTATTCGTCAAAGTATTTTTACATTTTTACAATGTTTAAAAAAACTTATCAGACTAGTCAGCTTGTACACAGTACGTCCAAAAACAGAAAAAACAAAACACCATTCACACTGTCCAATTCATACAAGTTTAAAATTCTAGGGCTAAAACAATAGATAATGTAGAAAATCTTTTACTGAGATAGACTAAATAATTGTTATAACAAAATATTGAGAACACCCAATAAATGTTTTTTTTAAATTGTTTTTATATTCTTGAAAAAAAAAAAAATTAAAAATGTTTTCAACTTGTCATATAAGTACATAAAGTAAGCCTCTAAACTCTAAGTATATAAATACTACTTAAAATGGGGATTAACAAAAAAAAATAGTAACAATTTAATTACTCATCAGTGTATGAAAATAAAATATAATTATAGCTTTTCAAACAAATACTTTTGTCTTTAATCTACACTACAAAGACAGCATTAAGAAGTCGAACACTGAAATCACATAGGTACTAACCCAGTAATCGACAAAAAGGGTGGAACACTGGAGAATAATTAATATTGCATATGTGTACCCAGTTAGCAACATCCCTAAAATTTAGGTTATAATCCAAGTAAGCAATGAAATTTTATCAAAAACATGTGTTACAGAATGCAGAGATGCCTTACACAAAATGTTATTCACATATCTTAACTATTTAAAGAGCAACAACCTTATAATGTATTTACTTTAACAAATTTCTTCACATACTCGACACATGCCATTTTATGCAATTTTACTAAAACTGGGACCTTCGCGAAGTTGTACAGTATTACCAGAGACATTAGAATTTCGTCCTGTCAGAGAATTATGTAAAAATCTGAACAGTTGCCCTTAGATGACAGTTTTAATTTTAAAGTGTCAATTACTGGTGCTCTTATCTGATGGATATTTATTACCTCTAAGTCTAATTTTTAAATTTAGACCTACCTTCCTGATTTCCTCAGCTGTTTCATCTACAGTTGTATGAGGTGTTATATCAATGGGTGTTACAAATCTTTGTTGAGAAACAGCTAAATTTTGGGTTGGAAAAGCAATTTTTCTCAAACGTTTCCTTACCGTACCTATAAAAATATTAATTCAACAAGATTAAAACACTAAATATAAACAAACTTACCTTCAAATGAACAATAATCTTCTTCTACGAAATGCAAAGAACACACTCGCATTGATTTAGAAGGTTGTTCTCTCATTTGTAAAACGGAAATCCATCGTTTTCTCATGTCGACTCTCTCATAATTTCCAATTGTATTTTTAATGAGTACTTTCCGTTTGCCCTTCTGAGGAAAATGGTGAAAACTCAATTCACGACTCCGTTTAGACAAAGAATTACAACCGCCTACACAACAATATATATTGCAATTGGCTGGAGGCTTTTTTGCAAATTTCATTTTTAATAATCTTAAACTATCACACACTATAAGAAATAAACAAATTATAAAACTTGGAAATGATAAATCTCTGAACAGTCTGAACTCGGTGACAATGACAAACATGATGCCACTGTTGCCAATTGATAAATTAATTTAAAAACAACATTGAAAAATGAACTGAAATTTAAAGAAAAAATAAATATTATTAAATCGGTTTTATAACTATCCTTACATATAGTAAGTATATAGAGTATAATTATACATATTAGTAAACAGATACACAATTTAGCTACTTAAAAAAAAAAAGGTATTTGCAGTGATACAAGGGCTAAAAATCCGCTGACTTAGCGGAATTCCGCTACTCTTGGCAACACTGAAAGTATCCTACTTATAGAGAGCTTCTACGAATTTCCTCCAGAGGGCGTATCACTTAGCTTGAATCGCGAATATAGTCGTATTGTCAAGCTAGCAGTGCACCTAATTTTTCCGATAAAGGCCAGAGTGGAATTTTTTATGTTGGTAAAAAATTAGCCTAAAATTAACCTAAAATTATGCCGTTATACTTTTTTACATTGCTGATTTTTTTAACGAAAAAAGCAATAAGTACCTGTTAAGCCAGCAGAGTACCAAATTTTTTGTATACAGAAAGCCAAAGGTGCTCTGCTAACTTGATATCAAGCTAGCAGAGCACCTAATTTTTCCTGTAAATAAAGGAGCGGAAAATTTTTTACGTTGGTATAAAATTATGACATACTCAGAATATGAAAAATCCAGAGGTACTCTGCTAGCTTGATACATATCTTAAGGTGGGATTTCCAAGCGACGTCCAGCTTTCACTGCCTTGTGTTCTAATTGATTGCAGTTTAATTAAAAGTTGCTTGTTGCCATAATGAATAGGGATATCCTAACAGCATCAATGTTATTGGAAGAAGAGAATGATGATGACATGAAGATTTTATTATCGATGCGCGAAGAACCAAGTAAATTGTATAAATCCCGAAAGGAAGAAGGGTATTATAAGGAGCCTTATACGAAATCATCTAAATTGTTACATTTTGAAGTAATATCCACCATGCTTATTTTAAATTGAAATAAATATGACTGCTGGG